TGCTTTTCGGTGCTGGGGACGGGGCTGCCTCAGTCCCCTAGCGTGGCACCTGCGGAGCCAGTCAGCTTTGCTTTTTAGCCGCCGGAACCGCTTCAGGCCCTGAAGGCCCCACTGTAGGCTGGGAGCTCCTGCCACTGCCCGGTGTGGGGGGAGGGTCCCTGACCACCGCAATACCCCCTTGAAGCCCCAAAGCGGGCACATGGCCTGACATAGGTCCTTAGCCCATAGGCCCTCGGTCCTTCGGCACTAAAGGGCTCCACTTCCTCAGCGAAGGGGAGCGGTGCTGGGCTGAGTTCAGTGCTAGTGGCGTGCTCCGCACCAAAGCTGATCCACTCAGCACACTGTCAGCCGTGGTGGACTCCGGTGCAGGACAAAGAGCCAATTTCATTAGGAGAGCCCTCAAGTGGATATCCCGCTCCTTCTGGGTACGAGGGTGAAAGTTTTTACAAATATGACACTTGTCCTTCCTTGGGCTTTCTCCCAGATACTTGAGACAACTGTTGTGTGGATCATTGATGGACACCGGTCTGCTGCATGTCAAACACGACTTAAAGCCGGGCAAGTGGGGCATGCCCCGCCTAGGGTGAAGTCCCAGACGGGACTCTAACTGCTAACTAACGACTATACTCAACAGCTACTTAGGCAACACTATCAACAAACTATTTACAAAACGCTCTAAGGCACGAAGTCCATTGTGGACAAGAAGAAACCGCTAGCCTTTGCTACGCAAGGAAAGGCACTCTGACTAACCACCATGGGCAGTAAGAAGGAACTGAGAGGGCGCAGGGCCAGCGGCACCTGATATACCCCCGCATGGGAGCGCTACTCCAGAGGCCGCCACAGCTGGCCCTAAGAATACTGCTAAGGCAGAAATCTCCGGCAACTGTGCACGCACACACCTAAAATGGAATTGACATGAGCAAGTACTCAAAGAACTTTAAAACAAAACCAAAGGAGGAGAGATTCTGATCTCATCATGTGATGCCGTGATCTGGAGTAAGGGCCTAGAAAGCACATGCCTTAATCCAGCCCTGAAAGGGGCAAATACAGGATGGAATGTACTATATCTCCCATATTTTATGGGAAATCAGGACTGTCAGACACAGGACCCGAGTCCCTTCTGCCCAGATATACAATGGATCCTAAATGCAAAATCCATTAAACTGAACCCCATAAAGCCATCCCTTACTGGAGTCAAGAGGAAGAATGGAGACTGAGGGAGAAAGTCGAAGAAATATCCCTTCTGTAGGATATACAAAACATCTTTGTCCTGTACAAATAAAAGCTTAGGAACTGAAGCTTTCTAAATTGCTGTCAGGCTTTAGTGACTACTAGTAGAGTGCTAGTAAAGCTTTATCTTGCTTAGGATTCCCCAGAAGCACCTGCAAGATGACTTTAAATATGAAGCAATAGGGGAAAGAAAAAATCTTTTATGCTGTTGCCCCAGGACAGAGGCATTTAAACCTGCCTTTTCCTGAGGCTCAGAGAGCTTACCCAGATCTGTGGCTCAACTGACTACTGCCAGCAAAAGAACTGCCAACTCTCAGCTGTTGCCTGGAACAAGAAAAGTACTAGAGGTACAGCATAAGCCCTCAAACAACCCAATTAACTGAATTATAAATCTGTATACATAATCTACACCATGGCCCTAGCTCCAGTGCCTGGGCTCCTGAATCAGGTGGGTTCTAGAAATGGACAGTAGCCTAATACGTCTCCTAGCTACCACAGTGCAGAAAAAACAAGATGACAACTTTGCTGAATCACAAGTAATATCAAAGATTACGGTTTGGGGATTTTTTAAAATCTAATGCAGAGTTTAAGGAAGGAAGAACAGTTAAAGATTCCTGAAAGGTCTGTGACTCTCTTAAGAACCTCTGGTATCAAGGGCTTTGTTGAACATATAGTTACTATTAAACAGTACCTGGGACTGCTGCTTTTAAGGGACAGTGTGGTATGCTGGACAGCAGCCAGATCTGTCTCTTAGCTATGAGAAAGGAGGGAGTTAAATGAAAATCTTTTAATGTCACAAGCAGTTCTGCAGAGTACTTTTAGTAAACATATACCCTCTTCATGTGTCCTAGAGTTCTCCCTACAGGACTGTACAGGGCAGTAACTCTTCAGGAGGGAAACTGGAGGAGAAATAAAGCAGGAAATGTCACAGAGCTGCACATACTGTGCCTTAAAAGGGAAAGAGCCAACAGTGGCATCCATTTCAGGCATTAAGCATGGCCTCTGGCGGATATTGCTAACATACCATTTTAGCAGGGATCTACCATTCAGAATTAATAATGTTTCCTAATAACATTGACAGAAGATGGTAAAATCCCTTTTCATATTTTTCCTTTTAAAAGCATCCTTATTAGGCAAGTCTTCTCAGGAGCAGGCTGTCTCCTCAACACCTAATTGATTCATATGGACCATTAAACTCCTTGACTATCAGCAAGTGATTAAGTAACTTATAAGCTCATTAAACTCCACTACTATTGAAGTAAGAACAGGAACAACTAAGAACTCTGGGCTGCAGACTCTGAATCACCCGGACAGGAGACAGAGGAATGAGGCCTCTCCTTCCTCAGCATATGGGACCTTTAAGATTCCCCTTCAGAGGCTCATATCTCTTTCAAGACCCTTTTTCTGGGAGGACATCCTGAAGAGGACAGAGTGCATTCAGATGGGTTACACCCATTTGAGGAGGTGGGAACCTATTGTCTGAAGCCTATGGAGTCACAAGAAAGGGTGGCAGCAGGCAGGGAATAAACGTCACCAGTGAGGGCTCTTCCCAATCACAGTTCCCATAGAAACAATAATGAGAGGGTCAATGATTGCAACATAGCCATGGGAGCAGCATCTCATTAAGAAAAATGAACATCTTTGGGCAGACAAGCACCCGGAAAGGACTGTACTGGGAGCTGGGGTTTCCGGTATAGAATGAAGAACTACCAGACTCTGGACCAGGGTGGAGGTTATGAGTGTTGGGTTTGATGGCTTAGCAAGATCACAAATACAGAGAGGATGCCCTTTGGCCAGAGTCAGGCTGTATTCCCTACAGCAAGCACCTTTGTCCATCTTTGCAATGGACAGTGCTCCACTTGCTGCAGGGACCCAAATGGTCACTCATCTCCAATAATGGATGGTCACAGACAGCCATCTTTGGAAAATATACTATGCTTGCATTCCACAGCTAGTACACACTGCTACTGGGGAGGAGGTAAGAAAGAGAAGAACAATAAGGAAGACAGGTTTGTCATCAAAACCCAAGTCTACAAATTATATCCTCAAACTCAAAGCAAAGCTGCTGTGAAGAGCTGGTCCACGTGGCACAGAAGCAGCAACACTGGGGCTGTGTTGCAGTTACCAGATTATATAGGAAGAGTTTAGGAGGAACCAATATGTTTAGCCAATTAGCTACTTTTGTGCATGATAATCATCAGTTAGTTACAGACTCAAGAATTCTGTGTATAAGATAAAGGACTTGATAGACAGTTACGTTACTAATGACTCTCTTTCTGTAATGTTGCTTGTGTATTCTTCAACATGAGTCACATATGATCCTTGTTCAAAAGCTTTAAATATCAGTCCATAATTTTTTTTTAAAGTAAACAGTAAGTAAAGTTTCTAACTGGACTACAGATTAACTCAATATTTTCCAAAGTGTGGGACACTCTGCCTGGGAAAGCACAGAGGAGTCAACTGGGGAGAACCCAGGCCTCTCAATTATTCTCCAGAGCTTCAGCTTCCATTAAAAACATCAGTTTCCACTGTTAAGATTAAGAAGAAAACCTTGAAAATGTGACCCAAATAGAGGTGTGATGTCTGCCCATTTGAGCGGACACTCATTCTGAGTAGACTTTCAACATTACATCAGGGAGCTGATAGGGCTGCACAATTGTTTTCATATTCCTGAAAGGGAATTTAGCTTTCAAAAGTTTTGAATGTTCTGGATTAGCCTGTATACTGAGTTTCAGTTAAACAAATAAAACTGACCGCCTATACCAATTTAAAACCTCCACAAGGAACAAATTATTTTTGAACACTAAAAATATTGGAAAAGTAGGACACATGATTAAGTGTTCCATTAGTATATTTTAATTTAAAATATTCCACTGGCTACTACTTTTGTTTTTAATTAAAAAGCTGATAGAGAGAAAATAATTATCTCATTACTCAACAGTAATTCTTTTAATCAAGTAAGGAGCAACAACTGGCTCTGAAAAGAATGCCATGCAATTGTTCACCACAAGGATGGTGGCCAGAATTCAGAGCATTATGGGGGCAGAGAAGGACTAAAACAATGGAAAACTAAAATATCCTCAAGTCTGCAAGAGCGATGTAGAGGACTGGGGTAGAGGTCGTTATAATGAACTGCTTTTTGATATATTATATACATTCTGTTTTCTTAAACCAAAAACGAGAGTCTAAAAAACTATTTTTTTTTCTTTCCAAAGTATAGATGAAACGATTTACTTTGCTAAAAAGCTCTTACAGCTTGCATCCACACTGAAACCAGCTGCTCTAGTTCCATTTTAGCCAGCTTGGACTGTTCCAAGATGCGTTCTCTGTGCTCATGGCTGGTGTAGGCAGAATCAGTAAAATCTTCTGTGTGTTCCAGAATGAGTTCCAGCATTGTTGAAAGATTCTCTTTAGAGAGAAAATAAAGATTCTCCCGAAGACCTTCCACCTTATTCTGTAAAGGATAAATTTCAGTTCCCTGTAAATCATTCATGTAAATACAGATAGCGGATGTATCGTGCATTTTTTCCCACCCTTCAGCTTTTCTTTAGCCTATTGTTAGCACTTTCTGCCAATGAGAAATTATTTTACCCACCCGCAGCCATCCATTTTGTTTCTTCACCTACTAGCACCATTAGCAACGTAATTTGTGTCTCACCTCTGAAACAAACAGCAAAGTTAAGCATATTTCAATATATCTGTACTATAATAGTTCTGCTGTGAATAGGAAGATAAACTCAATCTAGTGACTGTTGCTAAACAATGTGGTATTCACGTTTTGTTTGGTCTTTTACACATCCTCCTGCATTCAAAACGTTTATAAATATTTTACATATAGTAAAGGGGATATTCTTGGGCAGCCGCATCACGGGAATTTTGACCAAATTTTAGGTGCAGGGATATGGAAAAAAAGAGTAGCAAAACCTCCAGGGAATGGATATATCAGATAAGATCAAAGTCAGGATGCAAAGGGCCAGGCTCTACCCCGATTGCCATCCTGAGGAATAAATCTTGGGCAGGACAGACTGTCAAGTGTTCAGCTAAGACATCCGTTTAATCAGAAACATGTTCTCGGTGGGATGTGATATCCAATGGGATTTTAGCAGAGCAAGATTAAATGAGCAGAAGAGATGATTTTGGATTAGAACGGTTTCTTCAAAATGACAGTTTGCTCTTTTACACTCTTTTCACAGAAGGGTGATGTTTTCAGTGTGTAGATTTTAAAATGTTAAAAGTTTAATTACCAACTATCAACTAGGAGCTTCCTTAGTCCACCCCTTAATGACTTATTTC